TCCTTATTTTTTAGTTATAATGGTGGTATTTCTAACAATAATTAGTTATTTTATTATTAGATAAATGTATTTATTTAAGTTATTTCATTTGCCGTATTTACATTAGAAGAAACGAGTGTCCAAGTAATTTATTTCAACTTTCTATTTCCAGAATTAGAAATACCAGATATTCTTATTTATGCTTATTAACATATCGAAATAGGACTTGTTTATGTTAACATAATAACTGGATTAGTGTCTAAAATCACTTTTCCAGTTATTTATTAAAGAAAATCAGGGCAATCAAAGCCATTATTTGTTAGTTTGAATACACCAGGTTTTATTTTTATCGTATCATCCTTATTAACAGTACTTACAGAATCAAGTTTAATTGTAAGTGTTTTTTAATATTTATCAAAAGAACACAAAATATTTCCTTATAATTTGGTACTAATAAAGGTTTTATCTAATGTTTTTATGCAAAGTTAATTAGTAAATTATAATTAAATAAGTTTAAAATCCAAATTAGAGATAATAAGATTAATTTATAAATTAGTAAAATAATTATTAAAATTTATAATTAACTACAATAAATCATCACTAAAATATATTTTAGTCATTATAGTTTAGCATGAATTACATTGTCCATTTGAGTTTAATTAAAAATAATAAGGAGTTATACATGTAAGACATTCAGTTGTACTGCATGTAGCACATCCAGTTGAAAAAGTAGAACACATAGTACAGGCTTAATTGAAAGCATTAGGATCATAGGAATATTAAGGACAATCACATTATTAAGGTACTCTATTTTCAAAACAAGTGTCACAAGTATTGTCATTAGAACAAGTTACACATTTAGCTAAGCAAGCTGTACATTATCTGGTTGCCATGTTTCCCCACTTACCTGAAGGACAATCATTTACACATGAATTTTCATTTAAAAAATGTGGCGTTTGACATGCTTAGCAAGTTTTGTTATCACAATTCTAACATCCAATAGATATATTAAAAAATGCAAAACAAGCTTATTAACTGGACATCCACAATCAGGTGCAACTCTATTCTCAAAGCAAGTGTCACAATCTGTTGCATTAGAACAAGTTTTACATTTAAAATTACAATCATTGCAAGTTCTATTTTTAATATCTTTATATTTATTATTTGGACACACCAAACACATTAAGAATTATTATAAAAATATCCACTATTGCATAAATCACAAGAAGCTCCATTACTACATTATTCGCATTGTGAAATACAGTTAGAACAAACTCCTAAATCTAAATACAAGCCTTTAAAACAAGAACTACAAGATACAGAGTCCTTACATTAAGCACATTAAGGCATACATTCATTAGCTATAATTTTAAATTTATTTATACGAAAAGATTCATTAGAAGCCTCTTCATCTAAGTTACTACTAAATTCAATTTCAATATCTGTTAAACAGTTTTATAATCAGTTTTTCTAAAACTCTTTATTAATTCTCCATTTATAAAAATATTTAATGACTCATCCCATGTATCAATAAGTACATATTAAAATTATATAACATAAATATAGACAGGTTTAGTTGATTTAATTTAATTCTTTATAATACAATTTTATCCACATATATCATATCCACCTAATAAATTTTGACTTAAACAAGATGAAACAGGATTACTTCCATTAAATCCAATCAATTAAAATAAAAATATTTAAGCATTATATTAGGTAAAAGAACCGTATAAGCAACTTATTATTGTGATTGAAAATTGAGATTATACTATTAAAATTAAGTTTGATATTATAAAAATATATTTTTTAATTAGTTATAATTATATATTATTAATTAAAATTTTATTAAAATATTATTATTAATTTTAATAATTATTTAATTATTATTAAAAATATATATATTAATAAAAAATATATATATAAAACATTTTTAGATATAATTATTATAAAATAATTAATTAAAAATTTTATTTATAATTATTATAAAAAGTTTAATAATTTTTTAATATAAAATAAATAATATATATTTTAAAAATAAATATAAAAAAAATAAATATAAATTTTAGAAATATTTTTTGATTTTCTAAATTTTTATATTCATAATAAAAATTAATAATGATTATATTTATATATATCTAAAATATATTAAAACTAATAAATATTAAAATTAAATTTAAATATTTTATATTATATTAATATTTATAATATATTTATAAACGTCATTAATAAAATATTTAATTACTATTATAAATTATAATTAAGAATTAATTATATATATAAATAAATATATATGTATAAATTTATAATTTTTAAATTATATATTTAAATAAATAATTGCTTTTATATATATAACTTTTCTATATAATTTTTATTTATTTAATTTTTTAATATTTTAATATTTAATTTTTATCTATATATATAATATTTTTTAATCAATCAACAAAAAAAAAGGAATATAAAATAAATATAGATTTATTTTTTTATAATTTTTTATTTAATTTAAATAAAAAAATATACAATTTTACAAAATTTTAAATTTTTTTATTTTTAATGATATATTATTTTTTATTTTCTACTATTTTTAAATTTTATATTAATTATTATTATTTTTTAAAATAATTATTTTATATTATATATTATAAATTTTTATCAATTATTAAATACATCATATAATAAATATCATTATCATAAATACATATGTTTCATAACAATATAAAATATTATTATATCTTAGTTTAAATTATATTTAATATTATTTTATATAATCTTTCATTTATATATAAAATATATAAGTATTTAAAGTTTCTTTATTTTTTCTAATATTATTAATTACTAAATTATATAATATAAAAATATTTATTTATTATTTTATTTTATTTTAATTAAATTAAATTAAATTAAATTAAATTAAATTAAATTAAATTAAATAATAATTTAGTAATAATGAAATATAATTTTATTATGTATTATAAAATTAAACTATAAATTTTTTAATGTTTAAATATATAAGTTAATTTAGAATATAATGCTTTATTGTGTTTTTTATATATATAAATTATTTAATTTTGATTTATAATTATAATTATTATTTTTTATATTTTTTTCAAAAAAATAAGATTATAATATAAAACGGTAATTAAGATTACTATAACTGAATTTTAAATTTAAATTCTATAAAAATTAAGAATTCTTAATAATACATATTAAATAATCAATAAATTACATTAATTTATATCTAAAAACCACATAAAATATAATAATTATTTTAAATTATATAAAAAATTTTAGAACTATTTATTAAAATATTTATATAATAAAAATATTTTTTCTCTACATAAAGTTTAAATATCTCAATTAAATTAAACATAAATATAAAATAAAGCCTTTAATTAATATAAACTAAAAAAATGCATTTTTAAAGTCGTCAATTTTAATATTTTTTTTTAAATAAATTCATTAAATAATTTTCTAAATTTAAAATATTAAATAACTTCATTTTAATACTATAGCATTGTTAAATAATTTTATTAGAAAACAATTATATAATTAACCTGTGTTTTATAAATGCAGAAATCATTTAATAAATAGAAATATCAAAAAATATTATTAAAAAATAAAAAGGCACCCAATCATTGTATATATTAAAAAATTTATTTTAAATACTAATACAAATAATGTAAAAGCAAATTATAACTATAGAAATAAAAATGAGATATATTAAATATTTAAATATTCTTTTATTCAATTTATAGATATTTTCTATTAAAATGGATGGTTAAGTTAATACTTAGTAATAATAAAGAATTAGCTAATATTATTAAGATAGTTTGTAAATCATATAATAGAATAGAATTAACAGTAATAAGAATAACATATTTTACATATTATTAAGTTATTCTATAAGCCTACTTAAGAATTAATTATAAAGATCAATATTAAATTAATTGATGAAAATTATAACTTAAACATTATACTTTCTTTTAAAAGTTT